TAAATTTCTAATTATTATTAACTTATAATCAAACTTATTCATACTCTAAAAACATTGTATATTAGTATAATTATAATTATCACTATAATCAAACTTAATACTAACTTCTATTATATGACTATACCTATTATAATTACTATTATAATTCTAACACTACTACAATCATAGAATTTCCAATTATTACTAATTTATAATCAAATATATTCATATTCTGTGCTATTGCGTACTTGGATAATTATTAATTATGATTATAATTATAATTATAGCCAAATAAACTAAGTTAAAATGGTTCTCTTTGATAATACTAGGCATTATATCTACTAAGTATTATATCTACTAAGTATTGTAATGCTAAGTATAATTACAATACTAAAAGGGCTAATAACCTTATAGACAAATGAATAATCTAATTATACTAATATGTAATATTGTCAGATTATGAATAGATTTGAATATAAACTAGTGATAATTAGAAATTTTATAATTATAGCACTATTAGAATGATAGTGACAATCATAATAGTTATAATCGTATAATAGAAGTTATTATAATATTAAGTTTGATTATAACACTAATTATAATTAGAATGTCTATAATTATGATATAATTAGAATTTAAATGATAATTAGCATAAGTGATAGTTTTACTTGTAGGTTGATTTAAATTGTATTGATTTAAACTCCCTATATCAAAACTACGTCGTTTTGATGGTAAAATTAGCGATGTTGTTATTATTATTATTATTATTATTATTCAAAACATACGTCGTTTTTGATGTAAGAATTAGCGATGTTGTTATTTTATTATTATTTATTATTTATTATATTATTATTATTTATTATTATTATTATTATTAGTGGTTTGAAATATCTTGATATTGATTAATTACATATGCTAATTATTAATTAAGGCATTGAATCACAATTCATATAATTATTCCTTATGTTAAGATCATCATCATTTCAGTGGATATAGAAAGTCTTCTAACAATCAAGGAAAAGTATGTAAAAATCAATTAATGCATTTATTTCTCAATTTAATTTAATTAATACTACAAGTTAAACCGCTAGAAAATAAAAGAAACGAAGGCTTTTATAATTCAATCTGAATTGAATTTAAATCAGACCAAATCGGATTATAAATAGTTTGAGAGGAGAGAGAAAATTCTACTTTCTTCTTCCTCTTCTCCTTTGTTGCCACTTACGATAGAGGTCGACTTACTGCCTCTCCTTCTCCAATCAAACCCCGATCGTTGATCGTTTAACAAGAATAAATGCCGAAATACTCCTCCGGTTACGGGAAGCCTATATCTGGTCACCGATTGGTCGATCTAGTTTCTATTTTTGGGACTAAAAAAATTCAAGTTATGTTGTTTTTGAGTTTTTCAGTTGGATTTTACAATTCTAGCCATATAATTGATAGTGATTTTCGCAAGTGTACGAAATCGCAATAAGTAATATAGCATGAGTAGAGTATCGTGCCCACAGGTATTGTATACCAAGTACCAAAATTATGTGAACCTACTATTATTTAAATGGCAATAAGGGGAGTTATTTTAAGAAATTAAATTTTACAAGTAAGAGAGAACAAACAGAAATCAAGCAAAGCAATTTTGATTAAAAGAAATCAAGGTTTAAAGGTTACTAGGAATTTTGATGTTACTTAATTCCATCCAATTTATTTTATTAGTTCATTAATCAATTTTAATTGTTCAAGTAAGGGAAAAAATCCTAAAATCACTAACAAGCTCTCCCGATATATTGTTAGCTATTTTAAAGTTTAACCTAATCTAATTACCTATCTTCCAATAGTCGCAATCAAACATGAATTAGAATCATTAGTTTTATGGGTTGTTTGTGAATTCGATAATCTAAGGTCATAACTTTATGGAAAAACCCCCAGGAGGTCAAAACCATATAGCTTCGCACATTAAGTTATTATTCTCAATGTAATTTATTACCTTTTTTCATATCAAGAACCTATATGGTTGTAATTTAATGAAATAAATCAATCCAAAGGAGAAAACTCTACCTGGAAAGTGTTTAAATTTAATTAATAATTATACTTTGAGATAAAGAAAAACAATGTAATATTATAAAATTGGAAAAGAAATTAAAGCTAAACATCAAATCCCTAGTATGAGAGTTTAGTTCAACATAGTAATTAAATAAAACTCAATAATACTTGATAAAAAGTTCCATAATCATCAGAATAATGAAAGAATAAAACAAGAGAATAATGAAAGAATAAAACAAGATTAAGAATTTAGAGATAAAAACTAGTCAACAATTAATTCTGGACGGCTTCCTTGAATCTTGGCACAAATCTTAAATAATTGAAGTCTTGGAGAGAGAGAAGAAGAATAGAACAAAAATTATCAAAACTAGAGATTTAGTAAGGGCAGCAATCAAATCCTCTAAATTCTTCCGCTTCTCTTCTTCATACTCAAAATTTGGAGGATATTGGTGATTTCAACCCTGCAATGAAGCATCAAAATGCCAATGGTAGTCAAAATCTGCCATATCATTTAACATGTAAAGAACATCTTCATAGCTACTTTCCAAAAGGTGAATACTGGTTGCTGAAAATCCATTATTTACCCAACTTCTTGTTTATTCATCTAATCCACAGTAGAATATGTAAGTGAGATATTTATTTGTAAAATTATGATAAGGAAATATCTCCAATAATTCATTAAATCTTGCCCAAGCGGCAAAAAATGGCTCTGAATGTCGTTGAATAAAACTTGCGACTATTTGCTGATGAAACATCTCAAAATACTTCACAAGAAAATACAAAATACTTCACAAGAAAATAATGAAAGTAAAAAATCAATTCATAATAAAAAAAACTACAAATAATATAAACAAATATTTCAATTAAGAACAAAAAATAAAAAAATTAAAAAAATGTCTAAATTAATAATACATTAATTAGTATTGATACTGGTATGCCAATCCCTGGCAACGGCGCCAAAAACTTGACAATAATTTTCGCAAGTGTACGAAATCGCAAACAAGGAATAAAGAATAAGTAGAGTATCGTTCCTACGAAGATTGTATACCAAGTACCAAAATTGTGTTAACTTACTATTATTTAAACGATAATAAGGAGAATTATTTTAAAAAATTAAATTAAACAAATAAAAGAGAACAAAAAGAAATCAAACAACAATATTTGATGAAAAGAAATCAAGGATTTAAAGTTACTAGGGATTTTGACTTCACTTAATTCTATCCAATTTATTTTATTAGTTTGATAATTTTAAGTGGCGGGAAACAACCCTAAAAATCACAAACATAGCTCTCCCCAAGTAATTGTTGAGCTATTTTAAGACCCGATATACATTACCTATCTTCAATAGCGGCAATCAAACAGAATTAAATCATTAAGTTTTATGGTTTGTTTATGGAATTATAACCTTAAGTCATTAACTATGAAAAACCCCCCATAAGTTAAACATATTATAGCTTTTCTGTTATCAAATATTATTTCTTCATGTAATTTATTATCCTATTCATATCAATATTCATATCAAAAACCCTTCTCCCGATAGTGATTAATGAAATAAATAAATCAATCTAGGGGAGAAACTCTGCTTGGAAGCATTAAGTTCAATAATGAATTATAACATGAACAAGGAAAAACAAATCTAATATTATAAATTGGAATCAAAATTAAGCTACATTAAATACTTAGTATGAGAGTTTTAGTTCAACATACTAATTAAATAGAACTCAATTAAACTTGTAAATATTCTCATAATCAACATGAATATTGAAAATAAAATAAGAAAAGAATTTAGAAATAAAAACTAGTTAATGATTGGCTTGGGCGGCTTCCTTGAATCTTGACACAATCTTGAATATTTGAAGTCTTGGAGAGAGAGAAAAAACAATAGAACAAAAGATGAAATATACAATGAATCGATTCGACCCCCTAGAATATCTTCGTGTTTGTTTAGGAAAGTGAATCTTTATCGATTAAGAAATCTTTTAGAGATAGGAAACTGTTTAGGTTAGAGATAGGAAACTGTTTAGGCTTTGTATTTCTTCCCAATTAGGACTCTCCCAGCGTCTAAATAAAATTTAAACTTGATTGGCACGTCAAAAAAGTATCTCATGCGGGCCCGTGCAGCTAAGTTGTTGTTTTCGGCCCAATATGAAGTTAGGCATTCCGCATGGGCGTGCTATATGGCACGCCTCTGCTTAGGAACACTCTTTTCTGTATTTTGGCTGGTTTTCTATAAAAATTCAACAAAATAACCCAAGATCAAGTGAAATGTGATTCAAGGAAATTTTAAATAAAAACATAAATAAAACTAAATAAAAACTAATTAAATTAAATAAAAACATAAATAAAACTAAATAAAAACTAATTAAAGTAATTAAAAATACTAAAAATCCTAATAAAAATTATATTAAAAATACTATAAAACACCTATCAATAATCCTTGTTGAGATAAACTTGAAGTCATAGTTTTCTATGAACTAAACTTGATTTTGTGTTGACTTGATTTGGTGGAAGGATTTTATGGATTGAAATTTGGGTTTGAGTTTGGGAAATTTGGGGCTTTATTGAAATTGATAAAATTTAAAGAAACTGACGGTAGAACTAAGATCCTCACAAAATTCTGATAATTTTAATATATAAAGAGCAACTTTCTTAATTGGTTCTATTTACGACCTTGCCGGCAGCAATGGTCCTCACAAAATCCGGTCGGTTGAAACTCATAATATCCGTCATATCACAAAACAAACTGTTTAAATTCTCTAAGGACATTACTATCCTTTTACGTGATATCACAAAACAAACTGCTAAGAGCATTATTGACTTTTTACCACAATGCAATTGGGTTTTGCCAGATACAACTTGTGCAAAAACTATTTTTCGTTGGATTAAAAAACTGTAAACTTAATGAAAAAACTCAGATTTTCAAATTTTATACACTAAACCTTCAATTTTTTAAAATCACGGTTTTATATGGGCTTGGGTTGGATAAACACCCTAATTAGCCCCCTTACGAAATTGAAAGCAACCCCGAGAAAAAGAGTATAGTTGAGACGCATTGAGGGAGGCTGTGAGAGGAACTAAAACGTTGAACTTTCACCGGCAGCCGCAATTACTGGTACAATTCTCTTCCGCCGATCGAAAGCTTTCTTTCCGTATCAGGGATGGAGAAAGACACTTCCTTTTTGTTTTCTGGCATCCGTTTCGATAAAAAGAAGTTTGCAAACGATTTTTCCCGCTTCAAGGTAACATTTGTTCTTTCTTACTCTATTGCTATCCGCTTGAGGTTTTGAGGGTTTCTGAAAGCGTTTGTTTTTGCTTTCCAGTTTCATGCTTTATGCTTCCATCTGTCTCTCTTTTGTTCACTTTCTTTTGCTTTAAAATTTGATTAGGAGAAAAAGCAAAGCAATGATGGTGGTCCAACGGATGAATTCGATAGTGGAGATTTCGAACCAGTAGATGTTGCTGTCTCTGCTAGGAAGAGAAAGCGAAAAGATGTGACCTCTTCAGGTAATTAATTGAATTTTGGATTCTTCATGTCATTAGCTATGGGAATTCAGATAGGTGTTCAATCTTCTGCATTGAGCTTACTTTTTAGTTTTTTATTGCATAACATTTTAATTTACTTGCACTGGAAACAGAAATTGTGGAGGGATTTAGTGTCTTTAAGAGTTCAAAGTCGGTATCTTTATCAATCGATGAACAGAACAATCAAGAGGAAAAAAATGAAAAATCCAGAATGAAGAAGAAGGAATTAAATAAGCAAATTGAGGTTTTTCTCAATTTTTCTTTGTAAAAAATTCTGCTTCTTATCTTTATTCATGATAATGATTATATTTATGTTATGATTTCCTTCTTGATGTGTTCAGCAAGATGCAATTTTAAGGAAAAAATACCGCATTCATGTCTCTGGGAGTAATGTTCCATCGCCACTCCAAAATTTTGCCGAGTTAGGCTTGAGGTAGGTGGCATTTCCATCTTTCTTGTCATGGCTGGTAGTGTTGGTGCATTATGATGTTGATTTGGATCAAGTTGTCATTGATAGATATTTTTGAAAATTATACCTTTTGTAATTTAGTATAGATTTCATGAGCTGGAGTTTGAAATGCTTTCCTTCTTTAGTTTGTGATCATCGTGGTGGTTTTCTGATACGGCATGAATTATTTCGTTAGTAAAATGAAAATATTACCAGTAGTTTACCCATTATGGACACATTTATTCTGATTGGCATATGTAATGCTGTGAGAGTACTTAATTCATAATAAAACTTAAAATTTATTCAGGTAACCAATGCTTATTATATTGTATGCGTTGAAGTGGATAAGATTTTTCACCTTTTCCTTTCTGTTTGGTCCTCCTCCCTCTTTTTATTAATTGTTACATTTTTTTTGAAATTTTGGTTTGATGTCCAATTTTCATTATGGAGGGCAGTTTACTTCAGCTCATCAGTTCTTAAATGTACAGTAATAATCGCATCTAGCTCTTCATCTCCTCCCCGCCCCGACAAGATGCACCTATCTTTGTGTCAGTTTCCATATATCTGCGGATGTATTGGTGTGCTTTTTTTCTGACTGGCAATTAAATGGTTCATTTTTGCAGATATGGGTGCGAGTCATATTTATTAAACAATTTGGCTGAACTTGGATTTAAGGAGCCAACACCCATCCAAAGGCAGGCTATTCCAGCCCTCCTATCTGTATGATCTTTCTTTTTAAGCTACTTTCTGCCATGGATGATTTTGCTCTCTCTTTCTCTCTCTCCCTCCCAACTCCGCCTCTTTACTTTTTCCTTTTTTGAAATTTCTATATATATAAGAAAATGACAAAGGAGTGGTTAGACATTGCTTTTACATCCTTTGAACTTTAAATTTGTTGGTCGTTTTCTGGTAACCATAAATGTTCTCCATGTTATCATTGTCTTTTGCTATTTTGTGATTTGTGTTTCAGGGCCGAGAATGCTTCGCTTGTGCTCCAACTGGATCTGGAAAAACCTTGGCTTTTGTGTGTCCCATGCTCATGAAACTTAAGGTACTGTTTAGGCCTTTCAACTGCTGGAAATGCTAATTCTCAAATTTCTGATATGAATTTCTCATACACAGCTTGCGTCAAAAGATGGGATTAGAGCTCTTATATTGTGTCCTACAAGAGAATTAGTTGCTCAAACAACGAGGGAGTGTAAAAGAATGGCTAAAGGGAATAAATTTCGTATTAAGCCATTGACCAAAGAACTAGTAAGAAGTGCCAATTCTTCAAAGTTGCTTTGTGATATTCTTATATCAACGCCACTTCGGCTGCAGTTAGCTATCCGCAAGAAAAAGGTTGACTTAAGCAGGTAAGTATTCTTGTTTGTGTACCCTCAGTGAATATCTTGATACATAACTATTACTCACATAAGCCAGTAATCTAGTATTTGTGATGAATTGGCAAATTTGTGATCACATCTGTCATTTTGCTTTTTGTTTTATCTCTTAGTTTTTTGGTTTGATGAGGACCAGGAGATGGGGCAGGGAAAGAATAAAGGTTGGGGGAAATTACTCGGCATGATCAATTTATCATGTAATTTATGTTTTTGCACAAATATACTCTGCTATAAATACACCAAAATGAGAGAATGTGCTGATGGTCTTGGTTCTGAGGATCTTTCAATTCATTGTATGAGTGCCTCCTTACTACTTCATATTTTCATTACCCTACAAGAAAATATACACCTGTGTGTAAAACTTGATTATTTTAACATAATATTTTAGTATATTCTTTGGAGAATATCTTCATACATGACTACATCTCATATAATCCAATAATCTATTTTTTTTTTTCCCGTACATATTTGTTACATGATCTTTCCTGCTTTTCTTTTTATTTATTTTTTATTTTTTGAATTAGTGACCCCAATAGTTGGGTGCAGGGAAAGAAATAGACTGTGGATGAATTATTGAGGACATGCTCATTGTTTTAGACTTGAGAAAAAGTTTTGTTTTAAAAAAAAGATGAGTTTTATTACTTGCTTTATGTAACTTGTGTCTCACTGGAAATTAACTTTTAGTTTTGTTGTATTTCTTGTGCATTCATGGTGACACTGACAGGACATGAATGTACTATAGGCATTTTTAAAGAAAAGAAAAGTAGCTTTGCTATAAAATCTCTGGAGAAACTCTGTTAGCCTAAAGAAAACGAATGATGGCATGTTTACATCACCCTATGTTATAGATAGGGGAAGAAAATGAATTGCCATTAGATAATGTCACTCAAAAACCTGGGTTGTGTGCAGGGTTGAGTATCTCGTTCTTGATGAATCAGATAAGCTATTTGAACTTGGCTTGTTAAAGCAGATTGATACCGTGGTCAAAGCATGCTCGAATCCTTCAGTAATACGTTCACTGTTCAGTGCCACTTTACCTGATTTTGTTGAGGAGCTTGCACGGACAATAATGCATGATGCTGTTCGAATAATTGTTGGCAGGAAGTGAGTAATTGCATTTCCTCTTCATTATGAATAAGCCAAGAATTCCCTTGACATATATCATTGATATGAAATTTTGAACAGGAATACTGCTTCTGAAACAATCAACCAAAAGTTGGTTTATGCTGGAAGTGAAGAAGGGAAACTCATTGCTCTTCGTCAAAGCTTTGCCGAGGTATGCTGCTAATGTACATGTGACTAAAATCTTTTTCATCATCTTTTTTTCTTCTTCAAAAGGCTGGAGCTATGGTGAGACAGTCTCTATGTGTGCTCTAAAGCATCCAGCGGGGACTATATTTGTTTTGTGTTGGGGTTTAGTCATCAGAGGATGCATTTCATTGTTAACTAGAAAATGAAACTCCCTTGGTGTTTCAGGTAGTGCCCAATGGAGTTATTATATTTGAATCACACATCATAGCCATTAAATTTGTTTGTTATATAGTTTTGGTTCAAGTGGCTTAATATATTTGTCTAGTTCATAAGTTCTTCCGAAGCTGTGGGCAATCTGTTTGCTTGATGTAGTTCATGCAGATAAAAATGATATAAAGGTGTTACTTAGGAACTTTGTGCAAAAAAATAGAATAAAGCTTCTTGTATTCTTACTGTGCCATGAAGCAGGAATTATTTATTGACCCTTTTGTGTTATTCTTTTCTTGCTGTATGCCTTTCATTATGTTTTTTTGTCAACTATCTTAGAACATCTTTTGACCAACTCTTATTAATTTTTTTTTTCCATCTTGTAATTTGTATAGTGTCTGAACCCACCAGTGTTGATATTTGTTCAAAACAAGGAGCGAGCAAATGAACTATATGGGGAATTAAAATGTGACAGTATTAGAGTTGGTGTCATCCATTCTGATTTGCCCCAAAAACAGGTATTATTATTACTGATATCTCCTTCCTACTGGATCTTTTTCAACATCATACACTTCTAGTCAAAGAGGAAAGAAGATCGAGGAAATATCCAGGTGCCCAGAGTGCCTGGTCTCTAAAAGCTCTATATAATGTCTCATTGTTCATGAAATTGTATCTCGTGAATTCTAGCTGCCCATCGTCATTATTACTTTTCCGCAGCAATAATGTTGTGGTTTATGCTAACCTCTGTATTTGAACATAGCGTGAAAATGCTGTTGATGACTTCCGAGCTGGCAAAATATGGGTCTTAATTGCTACCGATGTTGTTGCCCGGGGTTTGGATTTCAAAGGAGTCAATTGTGTGGTTAATTACGATTTCCCAGATTCTTCTGCTGCATATATCCATAGGATTGGTATATTTCTCAACCTACAGCCTCTCCTCACATGTTACCTAGATGTTCAATGTATGCCTCAATAAATGTTTAAGTGGCTATGTAACTGTATTTTGAGCACCTGAGCCTCTCAATTTTTCCATCACGCCGTAACCTTTTGTTTATTTTCTGACATTCTTTTAATGGTTCCAACATTTGGTCGAAGAATTGACTAATTGTTTTATCATATAAATTTTAAGCTGCCTTTGAATTTGAAATCATCTGGTTTTCAGGTGCTCAAAGTGTCTCAGTTTGAGGGGAAGAAATCCCTCCTTATGCCAGTGACACTCCAAACTCCTATATGATGAAATTTGTGTCATTACTCTACATAGATTTTACCAGGATTGTGTACATTACCTTTACGAAATTGATTTCGTGTTTCTTAAAGCTTTTTTATTCCGAAATAGGTCGGTCTGGTAGAGCTGGGAGGATTGGAGAAGCTATTACTTTCTATACAGAAGATGATGTTCCAGTTCTACGAAACATAGCTAATGCAATGGCAGCTTCTGGCTGTGAGGTCCCGTCTTGGATCATGGCTTTGCGCAAATTGAGGTGGAAGAAGCACCGTCCAGAAAGAGAGTCAATTTCAACAAAACTGCAAGATGAGGAGTAAAATAACGATTAGAGAGCAAAAAATTTGTATGATATTATCTTTCAAGATTTTTTTTGAAGATTTCAAAATAGTATCCACATGTATTTGACATTAACTGATTTCTATTTGAGCAAGGACTTCGTCTCGCCGTGCATAAGCTGTACGAAAATACTTTCAACCATAAGAATTAAAAATAAAAAGTCTTTCATATTGGTCAAAATAAATTAATTATTTTTTGAGGCAATTTATTATTTATCGAAACATGCAGCCTAAAATAAATACATCAGTTTTTTTAACTATATTTAAATGAATTGGTTATCTATTTTAAAAGGAAACAAGTTATTTTAAAAAATAATTAACTTATTTATCTTCAAAGAAATTACATTCAATGGATAATTTCTTTAAAAATAGCATAAAAGACAAACAAATGTTCACAATTGTTGAAGTATCAAATTGAAATGCTGTACAAAGAAATGAAACATAATCCTAAGAGGTTCATTTGTTTTTTTGCAGTTGTTTTATGATGTTTGGATGTTCATATTGCATGACCTGATATATGCTGCGATTTTGGGAACGTGTTAGTCTTATACTAGAAAGTTACAAAAAGCTAACTAAACTTAAAGGAAAATTTACCTCTTTAATAGGTAATCAGTGGCACAATAGCATGGCAGTTGGCAGTTGGCAATCTGGTACTTATTGACGGAAAAAAAAAAGTTGATCAACGTGAACCCAATATTGTTTTGGAATGCAGCATTTAAGTCCCAGTTACTAATCCAAATTTCTTGGGTGCTGCCATTCTTTCTTACTGCTCCAACATTCAAAACCTGAGCCAAGAAAGTTTCATAATGGTCAAAGGTATTCATTCCATTTTTATCTTTCTTTAATTTCTTTTTTTTTTCTTCTTTTTAATCTCTTTTGGTTACCATGTTGAAGAACTGATTTAGCTTTCAATTTTGTTATCTGGGCTTAACTCCATTTTCTTAAGTTTTGAAATGTTTTTGTTGTTTTATAATTCGAAATGCAATCTCAATCTTGCATAGTTACTAATGTTAAATTGATTTTTATTTAGGCCTACCAGAATATTTGATGTATGAGAACCATCTACAAGAATACACCCAAAGAAATGGGTTATCATTCCCAAGTTACCATACTGCCAATGAAGGATTCCAACATGCACCAAAATTTAAGTCAACAGTTTGGTTAATGGAGTGACTTACACATCCCAGAAAACTTTTTTGCACTGAAAAGAAGCTGAGCAGGATGCTGCAAAATGCGCTCTCCAGTTCATAAAAGAAAATTTGAAAGATGAAGGACATTCCATGATTGACAAGGTTAGTTTATTTTGCAGAAGAAGATGCTTTTTTTTTTTTTTTTCGCAAATGATTGGCCTTTTCCTTTTGGTGTTTTTGTTCTCTTGGCAGCTTGATGATTTTATGTGCATTGCTATTAAAGAAATAAATGTTGGAATATAGAGATCAGGAAATAATTTTAGATTACGACTAGCCAACTTCAGCAATTGATGTATTTGAACAATGATTTTGAGAGAGACTGTTGAGCTTAGTGATGGAGTTGAGAGATAATAATAACTAAGAAAAAAGTGTTGCAGAAATGCTCATTTACAGGCCACTATACTTCCATTCAGTTTCATTGAGAATGTAAATAGAGATACATAAGTATGGTACTTTTTTACCAATCACCACCATGCTCATAAAAAGCTTCTAGATTTGGTTAAGGCCACTCGTAGTATGCAGCTAGTCCTCACACTAGACCATTCTTTTACATGTGCCATTACAATAAACAAAAAATTCAGAGAATAATTTTCTCAGTGTGGCAACAAAAGTATCACAACTCAACAGTGACAGAGTTCCTTGATGAATGATTAAAAATCTACACAAATATTTGAAATTTTTTATTCGAATTTGGTTATGAAATTGTTCTGCATAAATACTTGCAAATGCTAATTATTTGGAATTTGTTCAAAACAGTTTTGCAAATTGAATTATTTAACTCTGAACTATCTTACATTATATCTATTACAGGATCCAAAATATTGCAAGTCTATATTGCATGAATATGCTGTGAGGATGAATTTGGGAACACCCAAGTATAAAACAATCCAAGGAGAAGGGGTAGGACCTGGCTTCATCTCTTCATCGTTTTTCGATGGTAAAACTTGCACTGGTGAAGTATGTGCAAGCAAGAAACAGGCAGAACAGCTAGCGGCCGGGGCTGCAATTCAAACACTTCTTAGTAAGCCTTTGTTTCATCAAAATTCTTAAGCCTCCATGGTAGACAAATTGATAGATGATACCGTATCTTACAGGAACTGATTCAGGAGTTCTCCAACAAGTAATTAATTCCAAGGCCAAAGTGTGCAAGGCTTTGCATAAGGTCAGGACCTCAAGCTTCAAGCAAAGCAACCTGTCAACTATTCAAAAGTCAGGTAAGATTGCTTTCATCTACATTAGTTAATGAAGCTAAACAAATTGAATTACCTATTCGAAACTGATAATTGCTTGTCTTTTAGTGGAATCTTCTCCGCAGCTTATTAATGTCAGGGTAAGTACCCATTTCTCCAATTCTTTTGAAACCAATATAGCATTTCATGCAACACGGGTAATTCCCTCTAGAAAAATCAGCTTTGTGAGGATAAAATGTAATTACTGCTTATTTTTTGTACCATAACTTTTTTCACTAACTTCTGTTTACCATGGAAAGCCAACTCGTGGCGGATGCAGCCAGCTTCATGGTCTAAGCAAACTCAAGCCAGGAAAACAAGAATGTGCTAAGTCAGGAGAAAAGAACATGCGAAGTTACGGACAATGAATCTGTTAGTACACTTTATTAGGGGTAGCACATTTACAAGTATTTCTCTATGTCAAAGCATGCCTTAATTTAGAAGTGAAATTGAATTAATGCATAGCAAATTGCAATTTAGTGTCCTAATTAAAGTGAATATGGCCAGTGAATGAAAATTCAAAAGTGATTGAGAGTTTTCATAACTCGATTTTTCTATTAATGAATATTTAAATTACGTGTGATTTCTCTTGGTTAAAGAATCTCTATGGCTATTCCTAGTACTTGAAATATTTCTTAAATACCATCTTAGTCCTAAATTATGTTCATATCATAGGATATCAGTGATTGTTAAGTTTAAAAAAATAGTTCTGCAATCAGAAATGGAGGGATAATTCTGATTCCTTTGATCAAGCTCTAAATCAGAATTGAATCAGAAACAAAATGGTTATTTTTCTCAAGTAATGCCTCAAAGATGGAGAGAAATGTCTAAACAGTTATTGTTCTTAAGAAGACTTCTGGTCCCATGCTTCATTTTCTGTGGTGATCAATGTGCTCTTCAAGTTATTTTTAAAATAGCAAAACCAGTGTAATGAATGTTCTGTGTTATATTTCTAAGTTCTTTTCTTTTTCATAATGCAGGTTTAAAGGTTAGGTTTTAGTGAGAGTCAACTTATTATTCAGATCAACCTATGGTTTTTCCATATATATATATATATATGATTTACTTACTATAAATTATGACTTTTTTTTTATATTATTTATTTATTTATTTAACTTTAGGATGGTGCCTTTAGAGATTTTGTTCCTAAAGATAAATTTTTAATTTTGTATGTTAATGTTATTCTATCTTATCGTCAACTTTTTTTTTTTTTTTTTTTTTTTTTTTTTTTTTATTCTTGTATGTTTATGTTATTCTAATCCTTATTCGTCACTTTTTTTTTTTTTTTTTTTTTTTTTTTTTTTTTTACCATGGTGGAGACCTAATGGACCGAAATAATATTGGTGGGTTATATAGCAAGAGATAGCTCTCACTTTTTTTTTTTTTTTTTTTTTTTTACATGGGAGACCTAATGGACCGAAATAATATTGTGGGTTATATAGCAAGAGATAGCTCTCCCCTTTGAATGACATTCACTAAATTAGTGATAATATTTACGGTGGAGTCTCACACACTACATCTTGCAGGAGAAGTAAGAAGACCAATCAGAGTACACCTGATTAACTATCATCAACGCTTTTGTGACTAATCTTTTCAGCTAGGGTGAGCACGGTTTGGAAAAATTTTCGAACCAAACCATAAATTAGGGTTTATAAATTTTTTAATTCAAACCAAACCATTTAATCAATGAAATCATACTAAATCAAACCGCAAAAGGCGGTTTGATGCAGTCTGGTTTGCGGTTTGAAACTATTAAAATAATTTATTAATTATTTCAACATAATAAATTCATATATGATATATAAAATATAATATTTAATATAAGAAAAAAATATAACTAGCAAAAAAAGTGATAGCCGATTGATAACATAAAATACAACATATAAAATATCAATTTTTGCAATTTAAATTTACAAAAGCAATAAAATTATATGTAATTAATAATTATGATCCTCCAAAGTGTAACCTATCAATAAGAACTTATTTATATATATAAAAAAAGATTTCTTTCAATATTATAGCATTAAGAAGATGAGAAATGACATAAAAAAGAACTTGTCATGTTTAGAAGATGTATTTTCAAAACTTCAAATTAAATAAAATATATAGCAATTAAATTAATAATACAATGACATTGTAGAATATTAATGCATTTGATTCGGTTTTAAATGGTTTAATAAAATGAAAACCAAACCAAATTAGAACAGTGAATCACTTAAATTATTAATTATGAAATCTAAACTAAATAGATTTTTATTTAAAAAAATTATATTTGGCTAATCATTAATTCTCGTTTGATGTGAGTAACTATAGTTAAACCATACAAATCAAATATCACATCTCAATACTTTTACATGATGAATCTTCAGAATTAGTTTTTATACATCCACCGGCCCTTATTGTGAATACTGTAGATGTAATATAATGATGGGCCAATGTATAAATTTGTAATTTATGTAAAAAATTTTATGGTACCCTCAATTTTTACTTTGATCTATTGAACACTTCAATTTATAAAATTGTATTAATTAAATATTTCAACTTGCAAAAATTATTCTATTGAATACTCAAACTTCTAAAATTAGATCAATTAAACACTTCTTTAATAGTTGAAAAATATGAAAATTATTGTTCCAAAGATTATACTAACCACATATTAAGTGAATTTTGCACATAAATACCAAAAACACCAAAAAATGTTATTATTAATATATTATTGTTCCAAAGATTATACTAACCACATATTAAGTGAATTTTGCACATAAATACCAAAAACACCAAAAAATGTTATTATTAATATAGAGAGATACAATATTAGCAAAATTTGTAACTTTAAGGAAATAATAGGTCGCTCGCAAAGTTTAGAATGCCACAAAATTTTTTCCTTAAAGTACATAGATATATTTATGCATTTCGCGGATAAAATTATTTTTCTCGTAAGAAAGAAAAGGTAATATAAAGCAACAAATAACATTCGATTTTAAATTTGAATTCCTTACTTTGTCCACATTTTTAAGTACTAAGTTAACAAATTTTTGAATCACTCAACAAAATCTTTAGGGTATCTCTTGAGTTTGTCATTATAATCCACAAAATACAGACCAAACCTTTGGATCGTTATGATTTTTCTTCATTTAATTCATTAAGATTCTGACATAAAAAAGATTATTAATTGATAGAATATAAATATTTACTAGGAACTTAGTGGTAATTTCTATATAAATCTCCAATGATTATAAAGATTAATACTGACATTTATCCTAATTAGAAATATATCTGTTTTCCTAAATAAATACTGATTTGAGATTCAAGAAAGAAATCTATATATAGAACATTATGCTCAGAAAGTACATTGGCACATTTGTTTTCAGGTGGGTTAATAAGGTTTTTGTGAAAACGCTCGAAGGAGAGAAGATGAAGAAGACGTTTAATGGGTTACTGTTTGTTTTTCTTTTTATTTTAAATAGTTTTTATTGGGGTTTGGGTTTTTTCTATTTTAATATTTTTTTATACCTGTTGACTTTTCTTACTGACGTTGTTAATAATGATACAGTAGAGGTATAAGTTGTTTGTGGGTCCCATTGCATGATATAGTGAGGGTATTTCTGTTTTTTTATGTAAAATTAACAGGAATATCACTTTTTTTATGGAAGGACTAAAAGGTCAAATAAAACTTATTAAGCATATTACCTACTCTAATAAGAATTAGATATTTAACTATTATATTATTTTATCCAATGTTTATTAACTCAATGGTAATTGTTATTATTCTTTTTATATTTTATATAATTATAAAACTTTTTCTTATTTATTAACATTACATATTTTCTTCGTCAATAGAAACGTAGGATTATATTATGGAGTTTACATCAAAATAAAAATAATTAAAGTCTATTCATCAAAATCTTAAACGTCAGTTTTTACCAAAAAAAAAAAAAAAAACGTCAGTTGTTAAAAACAAAAAAAAAAAAAAAAAAAAAAAAAAATCTTAAAAGTTAGTAATTTGTGGACAATTTTTTATTTAGAATTAGATTAAACTTTTTGATAGAATTTAGATTTAAAATAGAAAATTAATATAACAAATCAAAATTAAATTATTCTTATTTTTCAATAAATAAAATTAAAGTCTTAAATAATATTTTTGTTAATCAATAAAATTATTAGGTGCATTTTAGGAATCCAATATCCCTCATTCGTACTTTTATATATTATTATTATTATTGTTAATTAATAAAATTAACAGGGATATTTTAGGAACCCAATGTCCTCCACTCGTAAGTACTAGTTTTTTTTATGACGTGCCTTACACGTTGACTATGCTCATTACATTTTTATACTCTTTTAATTTTTTTTTTATCTATATAATATTAAAGCATAAGTTTTTTTTTAAATTAAAATAAACACAATTATTTAATTTGTATTGGACTTTGTCATACAAGTAATTTGTAATTCTATCTCTTATGTGCTTAATTCTATTTTATTTATAATGAAGTGATCTCAAAATAAAATTCAATTCAATCCTTAGACCTAATCTTTCAGTTCCTAATTTATCAATGCAGATTCTTAAAACCTTAATAAGCGCCCAAAAAGAAAATCAAATCATCACTCAATCTCTAACCTCCTGCCTTCAACCCCAAATCAATATCTGTATACAACTGTAATGAAAAATAATAATAAATTATTTTATACTGATTGGTAAAGAAAAAAAATGAGCAAATGATCTGAATTAATAATTGTAATTACTTTAGCTATAGTGACAGTATTATTTATTTTATTAGAGAAAGGAATATATGCACATACACACAAATTCTTGAAACCCAAAAAGTGACCAAAACCAGAAATATAAAGTTCTATTTTTTTTTTCAGTTTTATAAATACTATTTTCTTTCAAGTTACTATTTTTTTCAGTTTTTAAATAAAATATCTATTCTTTCTTTCAAAGTTAAGAAGATTTTAGAATATAATATGAAAAAATATATTAAGAAAATTTAAAAAAAAATGTGTACATCAAGAAAGCCATCCGATTCTATTAGCAAGGGAGATATAGATCTCTTACTAAAATAAAAGTGATTTGCAGTTATAAAATGTAATTTCAGTAAATGAAAAAGAAAATAAAAAAAAAATTGCTTATAAGAATAGATACTTCTTTTCGGAAACTCAACATTATAAACAAGAACGAAATTAGTATTAAAAATGAAATTACAATTTGAATTCAAAAAATTCAATCCCCCTTCTTTAACTGAAAATGCCTGTAAATTTATGAAATTTGATGTTGATAGATCAACAAAAAAAAAAAAAAAAAAAGAATTATATCCGAAAGTCAATAGAATTGAAACAATACAAGCAAATAAGTGTTTAGAATCTAATTTGGTTTTCCTGCTAACTTTTCCTAAGTTTCAATTTAAAAATAAAATAAATTAAACTAAGTTAATTAATTAATAAAAAAAAATATTACATAAAAAGAAAAAAAAAAAAAAAAAAAAAAAAGAATTATATCCAAGTCAATAAATGAAAATT